CTCCACCCCTACATTACTGTTTGCCCATATAATTGAAATCATACAGTATTTATTCTTTTGTGTCTGTCTTCTTTTGTGCAGCATTATCTGTGAGTAGACTTTCATTGCTCTGCTGTACTTCATGACATAAATATGCCACTATTTATGTGTTTATTTTCACTGTGGACAGGCATTTCACATACACCAATGTGAATGTCCTCTTACACATCTTTTGTGCCAATATAGACACAGTTCTCTTTGGTAGATGGCTGGGGACAGAACTGTATGTTATCACTTTTGTTATAAGGGTCCAGTCAGAAAGGAAAAAGGTTCAGACTGTTGTCTAAAGTGTGGGCTGGATGTTTTCCTTGGCTTTTAATTTTCTGTGTACTCCTCGTCCCTCTGTACCACGCAAAGTGTGTAGGGAGCTCTGCCTTCCTGGGGGATGGCCCAGGATACTGGGCGGTGGGAGAGCACCAGCAGCTGCTTGCAGTGGAGCTCACAGGGCGCGGGGGGCAGGACCAGCCTCCGGGATGCACAGGCCTGAGAGCCGGGACACGGGTGTGGTGAGCAGGTCCTGCACACTGACGCTTGCTGTTGCTGTCGGGAACACATTCACTACTCCAAGCGGGGTATAGCTTAGCTCACAATGTAGGCGAAATCTACTGAAAACAGAGGGTGAGAAAACTGCCTTCAGGGAGTTTAAAATCTTTTATCAGCTTGGTGGGAAACCAAGGAGTTAGCCAAGCAATGAAAGGACTCATAAATATCGTGTCACATTAGAATAAAAAAGAATGAGATTTGAGGCCAGGCAGATTACACGTATTCAAGGCATTCCTAAAACTCCTGGGAAGCGGGAAGCCTTCATAAAGAAGTGTCCAGAGGACTGAAATCCTACGCAACAGCCGAGAGGCCGACAACATGTCTCCCTGCCTAAGTGGAGCCGGAACTGGCGACATCTGCCTTTACAGCAGGGCACAAAGAGCAGCAGGCCAAGGCAGCCGGCTGCTCCGAGCCCCCGTGCGTTAGGACAAGCATCACGTCAGTGGAATAAACTGGGAACGTGGTACCATTTTTACGGCTACTGATAAATGCAAAGCACATAGGACCTTAAAGTGGAAAGCCGGAAAAGACAAAACACACACACTCAGAAACCCAAGACAAACAAAAAAGCTCCCAACCCCCTAATGCTGCCTAGCAATTTAAAACAAATTAATGCTACCTTTCATTCAGTGATAAGTCCTTCATTTAGAACATAAAGAGGCCTAAATTCCTAGTCACAGAACCTCAGCAGCAGCAGGGCCTAGCAGGGCAGGGAGGCCTCACTCCAACCCTGTTCCCTCTCTCCAGGTGCCACACCTCTCATGTCTCTCTGGCAGCCAGTGACTGTCCTCAATCTCTGTCCTCTTCCAGACCACCTACAGACAGCCGGGAGAGACCCCGGAATAAACACAGCTGCGTCTTTGTGCTGGTGGCAGCAACGGGGTAACGCTGTTGAAACACGGTATCCTTGCGCAGACCCAGCTTTATTTATAGGGTGCTTAACAAAACATGCAAAGAGAAGGTAAGCAGAAAAACACAAGGGCTCTGCTTTGCTGTAGAATTGGAGACATTTATTCTGAGGCCTTTGCAGATACAGCGCTTTGAAGCTGACAAGAAACACAGATGCTGAAGTCCACACAAAGGCATCTGCTAGGAGTACAGGGTAGCCAGATTCCTTAACGAACAGGCCCAATCTGAGAATTGCTAAAACAACGTCATAACTGTTACAACCTTGGAGGATTTCAAATTGTCCTTGTGATCTTAAATCATAAAAGACTCCAGCAAAGAATGACAAAGCTGGGTGGTATTCGATGGAACCTCTCAGCAATTCATACATTGTCAAGATGGACACAGTAAACTGGGCTCATGTTTGCCTCTAAGTGACCATAAAGCACGTTCTGAAATAGACTGCTAGAAACAGGCATCTCCCCCAACTCTGCCACTATCATGATGTTTTGTTATGATTGTTACTTTTCGTTTTCCACTCAACACTTACTTAGGTTGTGGTTAGTGCTATTACTGAGTGGCTGGCCTGATGTATTGAATACCTGCTGTGTAAGGCCCTGTGGTATCTACAATGGAGACAGGAATTTGCCATCAAGGGGCTTTGTTAAGCTGTGCGTTAACACATCAAACCATTGTCAGTCTTTGGTAAAAAGGATCACTAGATATGGCAAAATATAGTTGTTTTGAGGATTAGAATCTGTACTAACTATGGTCCATTACAGACTGATATACCATGTAGCATGAAACACTTCAGGTGTTCACTTAATGTAAAAAAAAAATCTACAGAATGGGGAACTGTGCCATCATAGTGTTTGCTAAGACTGAAACCAAAGGAATTCCACGTTTCAAAGTTATTTTTTCCTCTCTAGGACAAACGAAATCTGATGCAGAATTGTAAACACAAGCTACAGTGATATTTAATTGCCTCAGCAGCTACTCCAGAATTTCGGGTTTAATGATTTAATTTCCGGCCGGCTTCTGCACGTATTGCACTAACACTTGCCAGGGGCTTCAGAATGTGGACCAGAAGTTTAAGAAAAAAGAAACACTACCAGTAATTTTTATATTAGCAAAAGACTCTTTCTTCTTCTAGTGTTTCTGTCTCAGGGATACAGTATCATTTATCATTTTTTTGATCCAGGAAAGAGCTGTGAGTCCTCAAGAGTCATTCATACCAGCTTAATGGCAGGATCGCCTGACTTGGGAAACGATGCATCACCGAGAGCAAAGGAGAGACGAGAAACAGGTTCAGTTTCACTGTGAGGCAGGGTACCACTGCCGACCTGTGCTTCAGGCCGCTGACTCGTGCTTCCTGTGTTTAAAGTGAATGATCCTGGGAAAGCTGAGTTACTGCACACGGAAGCACTCCTTCCGAGGTAAAGGGGAGAAAAACGAAGTCACGCCAAGTCCCACAACTGAGAACGTTTGTCCAAAATGTTACCTTCTTTTTCTCAGGATGTATTTCTCTAATATAGGTGTGCAATTCAACATGTAAAGGTATTCAAATTGTAATAAAAATAGGCTGCTTGTTTTTCTGTGATAACGCCTGTCTTGGCTGGACTCCCCCGGAAGCTGACCCTGCGATACGGTTTCCTCGAATTTAACTTGGGAGGTGATACCAGGAAACACCAGGAGGGGATGGGGAAGCCGGTGGGAAAGGGGAGGAAGCAAGTGGAGGTGTGGGTGAAGGTGGTCCTGAGGGCACTGGGGCCCAGCCTCGAGGGCAGCTCTGGACACGCTGGATACCGTGCCTCCCAGCCGCCCCGGGGGCTCCACACCAACTCCTCGCCTGTCTTTGGCTGAAGCCTGCTTCCGGGCCAGGAAACTCTCCAGTGCTTCCAGCCTACCACGTGTCTAGGAAGAAAGACCCAAGGCACAGCGGCAGGTGCCAGAGAGCAGAGGGGCAGCAGAGGGGGTACGGGTGGGCTCTGGTGGGCACTGCTACACCCTGTTGTGTTCACCTGGTCCTGTCACTGGTGCCTCACGGAGTTACACCCGCACCAGGAGTGCTGATAGACTGAGCTGTGGGCTCCTGCTGCAGTTAGTCCTGGGGCCACAGAGGTTCTCAGCATCTTCCTCCTTTATCACTCGTTCCGGATGTCCCTCACTCTCCACCAGCACTTCTGCTGGCCTAGGTTGCCTGCTTGATGATGTTGCTTGTTTCGTCCCTGTGGGGCCTGAGCCCCTGGTTGCCATACCCCTGTCAGGCCAGGGGTGCTGCGTTATCCATTTGCTGCTATCACCAGGCACGGAAAAGATGCTCAGTGAGTGCCCTGAGTCCAGAAGTAATCCTCCCTGCCCCTGTTTCCTACTGATCATAAAGGTCATTTTTTTTTTTTTTGTCGCCTGTATGAGGAGCCCAGGGGAGGAGAGGTCCTTAGATTGAGTGGAACCTTGTGTCCCCTGGCAGAGCATCCTTCCCTGCCGCAGGAGCCAGGGCTCTACTGGGGACGCAGCACCGTACGCTGGTACGAGGTTCACAATACACCTTGCATCCCATAGCACAGCATCCCACCCCCGCGAAAAGGTTATTCCCGGCCAGAGCTACAGTTGTGCCCCTGAGGCCGTTCTAATGTTCTACCAGGGTGGCACCTTCTGGGTGTGTGAAGTAGGGCAGACCCAGTGCATCTTGCGGTACTGGCCCCTCTGTCATACCTCTTTCACTCTCAAACGGGTCCCTGTCCCAGGTGATATCACGGGAAGCCCCCCTGATGATATATCAGACACAGTGAGCAACTGCACAGTGATGACTGCCAGAGCCCTGCAGGCAGGGAAGACTAACCCGAACCCGGATCTGCATCTGGGTCTGAGAAAATCCGCTTGCCACCCAGTGGCTGCCTGGCCTCCGGGAGGGAAGGCCCCGTTCCCCGGCTGGACCTCGGCCTCCGCGTCCGGAAGGGCGGACGCAGCGCGCAGCTCCATAGCCGCCACCACGGATACACACTCCCAGGCCCCGGAGCAAACAGGCCGGCCCGTCGGCTGGAGTAACCCGCACAGGCGAGCGGAGAGGAGGAGCGGGGAAGCAGAGGCGCAGCCAGCCTTCATCCCTGGTACACACAACGCGCGACTCCCTCCGCACTAAACCGAGTGGCCGGAAGAGCGCGTTCTCTTCCGTCCCGCAGCGCTCGGGGCTGCGCGTCACTTCCGGCCGGCCCGCGGCGGCCGCTCCCTGTCAGGCAGCCGGTTCCTCCTGGCCGGGCCCGGGTGGGCCGCCTTTCTATGTCGGAGGCCGGCTCCCGGCAGCGCCCGCCCACCGAACCCGAGCACAGTCCACGCGCAGGGGTCCCGGCCGCGAGCACCATGGCATTCCGGCCTGCGCGTCGCCTGCCGCCCAGACGCGGAGGTTCAGCCTGAGGCTCCTGAGGAACCGGGGTCGCGGACGGGTACTCCGCTCCCATCCGTCTCCCAACTCCCGCCCCCACCCCGCCCCTGGGGCTCGGCCGTCGGGCGCTCGACGCTCGACTGCGCGGCGGATCGACGCCCTCGGCGCTCCGGTGGCGGAAGTGAGGACGTTGGCGGCGGGGCGGCAGCGGCCAGGGAGCCCTTGGTCGAGCGCGGGGTCCTGTCCGTGCGGGCCTGCAGGTAGGTGTGGTGGGGGTGAGGCCTTGGCTGAGGCCGGCTGGGGCCGCCGTCAGCCCCGCGTCGCCCTGCAGCCGCGACCGTGCGGAGGGGCCCTGCGCGGGTCCCGGAGCCCCGCCCCCTCCCCGCCGTCCGGGGCCCCTGCTGGGGACTCGGAGCCCCGCCCCGGCTCCCGGCGTGCGCCTTCGGAGCGCCGAGCCTCGGGGGCGGTTGGCCGTTGGCCTCAACTGCTCCCTGGAGCGCCTGCTTACCTGTCCCAGCGTAGGGTTGCGGGGTTCACTGGCGGGGAGCGAAGTCAAGAGGCCGGTGTTGCTTGTTCTCTTCGGTCGCGTCACTGGAGAGCTGCGCCGAGCGTTTACTAGGCGCCCGTCGCCTTGCCTCCGGATCGATTGCGTTATCCCCACTTGACGGACGGCTAGACGGAGCTCATCGTGGCGGCGCGCCTAGCCGTCAGTCTCAGCGCGGGCTGCCGTTGCGGCCGCGCCCGGACGCCGGTGCTGCCCCAGTGAAGCCGGGGCGTGCTCAGGCGGGCGGGAAACCGCGCGCAGGCGCTTCTCTCGGAGGGGAAATAGGCGACCGCTCCTACTAGCGAGTCTGAGAAACGTGTGCCTTTCTTTTCACCTTTTTTCTTTTTTTAAATGAATCTGAGTAAACTTGCAAGGAAAGCTTTAACACAGTGTTTTAGACCGCTTAAGTAAGTCACCTGGATGCGGTGTATTGAAAAGCTCCTTCTCGCTGAGGGTGTGCGCACCGCTCCTCGAATGCCTGACGGTGCTCTGCTTACATTCTGGGCAGGCTTGGTGTAACGACAGGAACTGACAGCCGGAAGCTTCCCAGGGAGCCTGTGTGTCCAACGTGGTGGATCCACAGAGGGTGATGGAAAGAGGGCGATGCGTGCTTGGTAATTAGATGCTCTCTTCTGTCTGGTTCAGTAGAAGTCTAGTAGTTTTAAACAGAGGGCCCCCCAGCGCAACTTGGAACAATTCTTGGAAGTTTCAGAAAATGATTTTTTCTTCTTGTCAGGCATTTAATTTCCCGAGCTGAATATCGTGTTGAAAGTTACCTCTCTAAAAGACGGTTTACCAGCATGCTAAGTCGAATTTTCATTCATCCCACAAATATTGGAGAGCCCGTGCTGTGTGACTCTAATGGGAAGGGGAACTAGTACTTAAAATTTTTGCACAGGCAGCCTTTTAATAAAGGACTTCGGCCAGTTCAGTGCTGGGCCCGGCAACCTGAGGCCATGTAGGAAATGCTGGTTGTACAGTTAGCCTCTCCATTACTGTTCACCCGTTCTCCACCTTACTCCTGTCATCTCGCCAGGGTTCCTAGTTCAGCGCCTGCCACAGAGTAGAGCTTACATGTTTTCCGAGTGTGTGGGTTTTAGGCCCGTGTTGGGTAGAGAGGATTGTAAATTGACTGGGGTGGGAAGTAACGCCCGTCACTCTGCTGAGCAGCATGCTAGGGCCTTGATTGTTCTCAGACGCTGGGGAAGGTGTTCCTGGATCCCCGGGAGTGCCTGGTGAGACGGCAAGGTGGAAGCGTTTGTTACACTCACATGAGTCTGTGCATGTTTATGCCGATTGGAAAGAATTGTTGATACAAACACAAGCTTACAGCAATTGTAGAGAAATGATGCATCTCTGTGGACACACCTGTGGTATCCTTAGACCTCAGTTTGAAAATTATGGAGTCGAAGCACCATTTACTGGTCCGTGTGCTACCACCACCTGCTTTGTAGCATGGGCTGAGCTACTTAGCAGCCTTTTTGGGCTTCAGTTTCCTTGTACCTGAGGATATATAAAACTAGATTATCTCAGAGTTCTTCCTGCTTTGAAATTTTCCAACTCAGTGAATCCTATAACCACTTAGCGCTTGTCCTGTCCTGTGGTATCTTAGGGGTTGTAGCTATTGTTGGTATTTACACGTCTGTCAACAGACTAAGCTCTTGCCAGACAGGGATTAGCCTTAGTCATTTTTGTATCCCAATTTTAGCATATGCCTGACACATGTTAGAAATAAAATTAGTCTGTATTCAGAAAGGGGATATTTTTGCCCTCTCCATTAAACAGCCAAGAACGAAGCTGCAGTATTCAGTGTAAGTACAGCAGGAATTCAGAGGGGGGAAGGATCTTTTGGGGTTGGAGCAATTGGGAAGGCTTCATGGAGATCAGACCTTGATGGGGGATGATGTGGCCCTTCCGAGAGAAGGCATGTGAACGTCTGGGTGGCTTATGAGAGACAGAGGCCCATAGGCTGGGAAGTGAGTGCATTTTGGATTATGGAGTTCCTTGAACTTCAGGCAGAGGAGTTTGGAACTGACTTACGAGGCTTTTTTTTCCTGGAAAATTGTATTAGGTTTGCTCAAAAGCTTCATTAACATCCTTTAATACTGTTGGTAGCAGTTAAGACTGGGGTGGACTATACAGTTTGCTTAATTTTCGGTTTGGGTTTGAGTAATTGCTTCTACTTGCTAGTTCCCACTTACAGTCAGTCTTGGTGCCAGTATGGAAAGAGCAGTGGACACTGGGACTTAGGAAGCCTGGATCTGAGTTAGAATGTAAGCTGCGCAAGGAGGATCCTCGCCACGACCTGAGGTGCTGTCTGGCACCAGTTCGCTTTCAGAAGTCCTTGTGCAGCGCTGACTGAGCTCTGCCTCTGCTGCTTGCTAGCTGTGCCACTTTTGACAGGGTCGACCTTTAGTTTCATCTGTAAGCTTTGGTGCATTTTTTACGGCCATATCCGCTTGTAAAGTGCGGGGTGGATGATTTTAACTTTTGTTGTATTATAATTTTACTGAAAGACAAAACAAGGTAAAAAGCAAGGAGTATTTGGTTTTAGTTTAATTTTAATGAAAGCCCCATGTGATTGACATATCTGGGTAAGTCAGGGTGTCAGGAATCAGAATTCATGCCAGATGGTTCAAATAATGAGATTTAAATAAGGAAACTACTTGCAGAGGTGTGGGCAGAGTGAGGGAACAAACGGGATAGTGAGGCCCCAAGGGCAACTAAACAGCTGGAGGGGACAAAGGAGAAAGCAGAGCTGCCCCAGCTGGAGCCTCGGCGGAGGGGTGGCTGCTGCCAGAGGTGTGGTGCTGGGGGCTGGGGGAGCAGGACAGAGGTGCCCCAACCTGAGACCGGTTCACCTCTGAAATCCGGAGCTCAGACCACCCACTCTTTGCTGGCAGTCTCTTGTCTTTCTGACCCTCACTCAGTTACCTCCCTCTGCTCCTTTACCGGATATTCCGTCACCCTTCCACCAGGATGCTCAGTTGTGTCCTCCCTCATCTTTCTGTGGCATCTGGCCGACAGATTATCAGTCCTGGACCATCTCAACTCTTTGCCTTTTTTAAATGCTTGAACTGAGGTTCTGAGACCAGAAGGGGAAAATCATAGCGCCTAGATTTGTACCCCTATAAATCTGTGGTCACCACTTGCAAGTGGCCATCAAAGAGTTTCTTAGAGTTTTCTTTGTTAGCCACTTGCTGCTTCTCTGCAGAATCTATTTTAAGCATTTTCTACTCTTCTCAAACCTCTCATCCTTACACATAATCAGTCTCTACAAAGCTGATAATCTTGCCACCTGAGAACTATGAGAGCCCTCAGAGGAGAACCCTGGGCTCTCTTCCAGAACCTTTCCTCCTCCCAGTTACATTGAAAGTGGTTGCCTTTACCCCAGGATGGATCCCTGTACCCCTGCACTCCTGCCTTTGGGAGCACTGCACTCAGTGTTCCTCTCTTGCTAAAGGCTCCTTCCAGTCAGCCTTTAAACGTACTTAGACAGCAGCAAAGCAAAATAGAAAAACAACAATAAAAAGGTAGCATCCTCCTTTGATTTCACATTCACCTGTTAAAGCTTCTCTCTCTCCTTCCCTTCCAGCCAGATTTCTTAAATAGTTGTTTATAGGCTGCATCAGTCACCCCACTGCTGTCTGGTTAGGTGCCCACCACTCTGCTGAAGGCCAAGGTCACCTGGGACCCCCTTGTCACTAGGCCTTGTTCCTGTCATTTCCCTAGTGTAGTGCCAGAGACCCAACCAATGCTTAATAGATACTTGTTTTGACTGAACAATCTGAGGGTACTCCCTTGTTTCAGATCCCGGTTTATCTGCATCTTTTTTGTTTTTCTCTTTCTTTTTTATTGAAGATTTTTTTGATGTGGACCATTTTTAAAGTCTTTATCGAATTTGTTACAGATATTGCTCCTGTTTTTGTATTTTGTTTTGGCGCGAGGCATGTGGGATCTTAGCTCCCCCACCAGGGATAGAACCCGCACCCCCTACATTGGAAGGCGAAGTCTTAACCACTGGATCGCCAGGGAAGTCCCCTCTTTGTTTTTCTTAGGGATGGGAATCTGACCCTGTCATCTTTTGAGGTGCTGGGTAACTAGTCTCTATATATATCTCAAATCTTCTGGGTCCACTAAACAAATAGAAATCTGTTTTATTTGATAATGACCTTTTCAGTATTGTCCAGGTGACCTGTCTTTCCAGGGGAACCTGGACATTTTTTTCCCTAAAAAATTACATTTCCTAAAATATCAAGAAGTTATGTTGTGTCCACCCCATGTGGATATAGTAAAGAGGAAGTGGTAGGGACATGGGGACAGCTGGCAATAGACTTGATGAACGAATAATGCCGTGCTTTGACATGAAGCACTCTCCTTCTTCCTTCCAATAAGTAGTGTATCTTCTTGGAGGTTTTTGCTCTTACGTTTCTTTTTTGAAGGGTGGTGGTAGAGGGGATGGATTTGCACTGTTCTGTTTCATTTTTGATATGTCATCAGTGTCCAGTGGCATGAGTTAGAGGACCAGTCACCTTTGGGACCACAGCTTTTCGCTTTGAAATGTAGTGAAGGTAATTGTCCCCTAGGAGGAGACTTAGCCTGCTGAGGCAGAGAGTTTATAGTTTCTGGGAAATAAAGGAGCGTTTTAATAAACTCTTCTAATTAAGATGGAATCCAGTGCTTGTTTTAAGGGAGTAGCTGGGTAATCAAGTATTTATGTGACAGATGAGGTGTGTGGGAGCTCTGGAGAGTGGAATTGTCAGGCTTTCCCTGTGGACTGTCTGGCTTCCAGCATTCCCTGCTAGTCGCCTTGTGTACCTTCTCTCCCTTTAATACCGTACCTCCAAACATTATTATTATTATTATTATTATTATTGGCACGCGGGCCTCCCACTGCTGTGGCCTCTCCCGTTGTGGAGCACAGGCTCCGGACGCACAGGCTCAGTGGCCATGGCTCACGGTCCCAGCCACTCCGCGGCATGTGGGATCTTCCTGGACTGGGGCACGAACCCGTGTCCCCTGCATCGGCAGGTGGACTCTCAACCACTGCGCCAGCAGGGAAGCCCTATCAGTTATATTTTTTAAATCATTGGATTTTTTCTCCCCAAATGAGTTGAAACTTATACATTCATTAAAAAACCCAGTATACCTCAGTTATACTTTCTTTATGGGAGTAATAAGGGAAAGAGGTATAAGGAGAGAGCTGGGAAAGCAAGGATGCTTTATCTCTTGTCTGTCCAGCTCTTCTGCTGACATCCCTTCTGAGACCTCAGGAGCCTTCTTAGTACATTTGGTACCCCACGGATTCTTTCAGATTTGTGCATGACTCTGTTTTTGTTAACCATGATTTTGAGACGGAGCAGGAGGGAGATGATTAACTTAGGACACTGGACAGGAGTTCAGGACCTTGTGTCTGAGACTTGTCCCGCCCTGAGCTTGAGATGGTGGAGGGTGTGGCAGTGTGATAGAACTTGACCTTGCTCAGGAACAGTAGAGTTTACAGAGGACAGAAGGAGGTAAATCACCATTCTCAGAGACTTTTCCCCAGGTCTCTGGGAGATCCCTCTGGGGCCAGCTGCCCCTGCCGTGCCTTGCCGTGGAGGGCAGGTCTATCCTAGGATAGGTTGAAGTGGCACCAGGAAGATGTGAATTCTGCAGTTTGGGTCTGTTGGTGGGTGGCCCAAGAGTCTAGCTGAGTATGATTTTATTTTTCAGACTCATTAGGCAGCTCTGCAACCAGATTTTTCTGGGGGTCCTTTGGATCCAGGGCGGCTCTGGGCAGGATAGGTCTACCGAGTGCTTCTCAGACACTCCTGTGCACAGAATGGCTTAGATGTGTATTAGTGGGTCGGGCTGGGCTGCTGAGAGTCCCCCTTCCTGATTTGCTCCCTGGTGATGCTCATTTGAGTAGCATGGGGGTGGAGGCGGGGGGTGGGGGGGGGTGGGGGTGGGGTGGCGGCGGGGGGAGTTTGGGAGTTTATTATTACTATGATTTGGTGGTTTGGGGGGAAACTCACTTTTCTACGGCCTGACCTCAGAAAACAGTGCTTCAGCATCAGGAGGCTTTCCTTGGCCTATTTGCTGAAGGTTCTCCAAGTCTTCAGTGAGTCAGAACTTCTGTTTTTCCAACTCCTGGCCTAATCCCTTTAGCTGAGCTGGGCCTCTGGGTACCTGACAGTGAAAGAACACCTGATCACTCGTTTTGTTCAGATTTCTTGTCTGCTATTCCAATCAAAATTCTTCCTTACTAAATAGTAAAAAATTTTGGTTTAATCCTTTTAAAGCTACTTTGGTGGTTACGTTTTCTGTTTTTTCCCCCCAAATGCTGCTACTTGTTATTTTTTTCTATGTACATTTAGCCTGAAATTATGTAAAAAATAATTTACTGTGTCTTTTTTGTATCAATAAGTCTTTTGGAAAATTAAAGATTGTGCCACAGTGAAATATGAGAAAATTATAAAATTAAAATTTTCTGACCTCTGTTGCAGAAACACTTGATATTCATGCTATGCGCTTCATTAGAGGAAAAGAGGCAGGCGGGTTAAAACCAACGTAATATAAATCTAAAAGAAAATGCATTATTTAAGTATATATTATAGACTATAAGAAAATACGTTTGTCTTTATTTTAATGAAATGCTTTTATAATGGTAATTTTCTCTTTTGACCTGTGATGGATAGGAGGTTAATTGATGTTAAATGGATGCTTTGTTAATCCTTCATCAGCTACTAAATTGGTTGGGGGAGTACAGGTCAAGGCCACACAAGGCCGAGACTGGCTTGTTTTCTCAGGGAAACCACTCTTCGCTGTCCTGACTCTCTCCCTTTCCGGCTCTCCATCCCCTCCTCCCCCCCCCCCCCCCCCCCCCCCCCCCCCCCCCCCCCC